TATCCACCTCTATTCTTCCCGTCGAAAGCGCATCGAGAACTCTAACGATTGAATATTCTAGATCCATCCTTTCAAGAATTATGACACCTACCACGCATTGGAGATGGTCTATTTCGTTCATTATTATTTTCTGGATTGAATACATTTTTCTTGTTCCCTTGTTGGGTGGAACTTTATAAAAACCTCGTGGTGCACCATACAGAGGGAATGGCAACTGCAGCAGCATATAGATATGCAGAACTTAATAGCTGCTTAGGACTACAACGGGATCGATCCCGGCATCACCACCAGTAGATGTATATTGTAACCCCAAAATGAGGAGGAGAGATACCTGGCAGTCTAGACAACATCCGGTTTGATATCCCGTGTGCAAAATATGAGGAGGTTAATGAACTGTACATCTACTTCTCTAGACAATATCCGGTCTAACAATAACTCAAGGGTAATGACCAATATCTAAAAATAGCTGGAGGTCAGTGACTTGGGCATCTGGGGTGTCTAGACAGTATCCTGTCTAAAAATAACTCAAGGTTAATGACCAATATCTAAAATTAGCTGAAGGTCAGTAACCTGGCCATCTCGTGTGTCTAGACTAGTGGTCGCCAACCTCTTCAATGTGTTAAGCTACTTTGTTAATTTTGGAATAAACACCGAGCTACCCACATGGAAGCCACGTAACGCAACGTTAATGAAATAATCCACAGTTAATCTATCATTATATGTATTTATTTTACTGTTTAACTGGTAATACATAATACATAGGTACTAATAATAAACTAATAACAAAATAACTAATATTACTAGTACGTACTTATTCATAGCTAGATTCTTACCTATCAAACGAAAGTATTTGAAAAATAATCACAAACTTTTATCCAGCCACAACGGCATGTCACGTATGATTTAAAAATAGTTAATAATAACAACAAAAAAGTAACGCACTATCATAAACATAAACATTGAAAAATAAAAAAGCACGTTCAATGAGAAGGCTGACACTCAGACTCATCGATAATTTTTTTAATGTTTGCAGTGTAATTTGATGCAGCCATTCGAATACAATTATCCATCTGTAAGTCAATTGCGATATTTGTTCTTAATAAACTTCATATTGGAAAAAGAAGATTCACACAAATAGGTTGAACTGAATAATGCTTTCACTTTCAAGGCAACACGACATAGAACTGAATATTTGTCTGTACTTAAAATAGACCAGATACAATCAGTACTTGAGACTAACGATTTTAAGGCTAAATCATTCTGAAACTCAATGATTTCCATTTTTGTTGCAGCGATGTTCGTCATTCGCCAAAGTTCTGCATAACACAAGCTGCAAACTGCTGGATATGAATTTACATAAAAGGGTGAAACCATAAACTGCGCTACTAAAGCCATTTCATTGAAATCCTTAAAACGATTTTAAAGTTACTCTTCAGGGTAGAAATTATTTCTACATGATATTTGTTGTCATGAGGTTCTAATGGATTTTGAGATATTTTTTCTAAAAGAATAGGAAAATGCTTGGAATCGCTGTTAATTAGGTTTTGTTCCCAAAACTCCAGCTTTTTAATAAATGCTTTTATATCAGAAATCATTTTCGCTAGTTCTTTGTCTCTCCCCTGAAGCTGAAAATTAAGTTCGTTTAATTTCTCTGTAATGTCTACGAGAAAACCGAAATCTCTAAGCCAGATTGAATTTTCTAGTTCCGGAGTCGGTTCATCGCGTTGTTTAAAAAATTGAACTATGCCAGATAGGACATCATTAAAACGTTTCAGCACCCGTCCTCTACTTAACCATCGGACTTCAGAGTGAAGGAGTAGGTCCCCGTATTGACAGTCAACTTCATCGGCCAAGGTTCTTAATAATCTTCTTTGTAACGCTTGAGTTCTAATCTTGTTCACAATTTTTACCACCAGTTTCATAACGTTGTTTAGTTTCAGGAAATTTCCACATAATGCTTGCTGATGGATAATGCAGTGGTAACAAAGACATTGCGGAAAAGTTTCATCTTTACTGTTACGTCCCAAATTTAAAGTAGAAAGTCCCACCTCTATTTTATCAAAATTCAAATAAGTCAAGACGTGTAAGAGCGGTTGCCTATAATATATTATAAGCAAGTTGGCGAAAATAAAATTATTAATTTTCAAATAGGGGTAATGGCAAATTTTGCTGAACTTAAGGGAAAAAGTCCTTTGTTTTAAGAAACTTATTTAGATCGTTCTTTCTAGAGTCATCTTGGAAGAATTGGGATCATAAAATTGAAATGTTTGAATCTCGGTATTATTCGGTGACCTCCGTGTGTCAAGTTGTCAAGTGCTCGGAAACACGACGAAAAGGGACTGATTCTTGGTCTGACGGTGTTACTGATAGGTTGGGCTAGATTAAAAAACGGCATTTTGGTTTTTGCTGCTGTTCCATGTGGGATCTGGACTAGTCCGAACCGTGTGGATATTCAAGGGGATTTGCTGCCTTCGTGGAAGGGTTTTTTAGAAAATCCACAATTTCGCTAAAGAAAAGCGGATCTACAGTACACGTGAATACCGGGAGTCGCATTTAAAATAAGAAATTAGCCTTAATCACGAGTCCAAATAGCCGACTACGTTTCGGTCCAATTTGGGATATTTCAAACCCTTAATCTGGCTAAGAAGGGTGAGTGTTAGAACATTTCGTTTTTAATTAATTAATTAATTAAAGTTGTAGTTATTTTTTTTTCCTATCTCTAAAAAGCTATTCAAATTTTTATCAATTTTTATACATTCAAGTTCAGACACTAGTTTTTTTTTGTATTGTTCCATTATCGCCAAAAGGCAGATAAACAAAGTGTTAAAATCAATATATTTATTTCCAAATAATTATTTTAGACACAGATGGTAATTAATGTTTTCTTGCTTCAGGGTTTTGCTGTTTTGTTGGTTTGTTTGGTTTTTTTCCTGCTTCTTCTTCTTCGAATTTTTCCGTCTGGCTGTAATTTTCAACTTCTCAACATTGTCACACAAGTCTATGTACATCGGCAATCGTATGGAATTTTGGATTGGAGACACACTGAACTGTAACTGGATTTCCACGCGGTGAAGTATATGAAAATTCAAGGTATGGATCGATAATTAATTTTCAACGGAAGATTTAAGCGCCGTCTAATTTGTTTACGAAATACAATAGTTTTTTTTTAAGATTTCTTGCTGTTAGTTTTTATTTTAATATTTACAAATACTTTACAGTTTTTTTTAAGATTATTTGCGGTTTATTTTATAAATTAAATATTTACACATACCTATTTTGTTTTTGTAAACTGCGTCTAAGGGGGGGTTATATATTTGAGATTTATTTTTTTATATTATTTTCTGTGCACGCACTTGAGCTCACGTGGTGTCCTATTTGCGTTAATTATTTGTTTTGGTCGGTATTGAACCGCACACCACTTAGCGTCCGGTACTTTTGATACGTCTTACCTTTTATTTTGTTCTGTTAAATATAAATAACTCATGAATTTTTGGTTAGGCAAGTAGAAGCCGCATTTTTATATTATTTTTTTATTAAGCCTATGGTAAAGTTAAATAATATTGTAATATGTATTTATTTTCAACTATCTTGGGAATATATTTATTAAAATTGACTAAATTCTAATCTGACAATTTTATTTATTTTTTTTTTATGAATTCAGGTTGTATATTGTTACATAGTATTTTAGTAGTAGACCTATTGGTAAGTTGGTGGTTTATTGCATAGTAACGTAGGGAAGGCTGTGGGCCAATTTACCTGGCGCCCCTGATATAACTTCGAATTTTTTTTGTTTTGTGGACCGCACGACCACCTCCACTGTTTTGTCTAGCCGCGAGCCATTCCCAGACTGTCACCGTATAGTACTTTTCTTTCCTGATGTACGTCTGATTTATATTTGGTACATTTTGTAACTTTTTTTATAGATTCGGTTTTGTACGCCACATTACGACATAACGCCACCAGACCCTTATCACAACCCACCATAGCTGGAGCGCCATCGGTTGTCAAGCCTACCATTTTTTCGGTAGGCTTAACAACCGGAAAGATATTGGAATTTTCCCGGAAGAAATAATATTTTTTAAACGAGAAAACAATTCCTGTCCAGTAGTGTGTCCTTTCAGTGGAATGAACTTCAAAAGATCATCTTTAATCGTAAAATCACTAAAAACCATCCTGACGAACACGGCCATCTGGGTAGTGTCAACGACATCTGTTGATTCATCCAGTTGAAGTGAAAATAAACACAGTTATCTAAGTCAGTTCTTAACTGTAAAAAAATATCATTGCTCATTACTTCTACACGTCTCATCACTGTATTAGAAGAACGTTGCATAGATTTTATAGCTGAAACTATCTCGTCTTTATTTAACTAACTAAAAACGCCCGTTTTATCATTTCCCCGTCTTCATAAGGTTTCTTTTTTTGTGCAATTATCTGGGACACGGTACGATGCTTCAGTTGCAGCCTTATTTTTGTCGACTGTTCTTAAAAATTTGGTTTTTGTCCGATTAACTGTTTTTTTAACTGTTTCAGTTTCTCCTTTCTGGCGGCAGAATGTAGTGGAAATGGTTTTTCAAAATTAGAATGTACAGTTTTATGATGTCTCTCAATATTCCTTTTTTAGCAACGGAGACCAAAGTATTACATAACAAACACACATTTTTATCTTTAACCTCTGTAAAAAATTCCCATTCTTTCCATTCCGAATGAAAGTGGTATGTCTTTACCTTCTTACAACTGCTGGTCATAATATTATTTTTGTTGTTCTCTACTAACCCAACCGCTGGACGTTGGTTACGCGTTCAGTTTTAAACTAAGCGCAATCTTATCGTTTTAATAGTGATAAAAAATTAGATTATTATAGATTTTTAAAAGACGTTAAACCCAAAGTTTTAAGCATCTTGAGTGAATATCTACATCAGCACAATACGATTAAAGCAAATTTTGAAATATTTGCTATTTATCTAAAACCTGACACCAATCTATCAGATATCAAGTCCATGAACACATGCAATAAAATTATATCTATCAGCACTGAACTGGATGAAGCATTTGCTGATTTTAAGAAAGCACTGATGACACAAGCTTCAGAATTTCAAGAGAAAGATTCAAATTGGGTATTACAGGAAATAATGTTTTTAAATGTTAACATTAACAAATTTGGTAGTATTTCTGCATCAACGTATATTCGTCTCCCAATACCTTTAGCAAGAAAACACGCTATTTTAAATATAGAAAACAAAGATAATAAGTGTTTTTCGTGGAGTGTTATTGCAGCTGTTTTTCCTGCCGCTGGTAACCCAACCAAACCAGAATCGTATCCACCATACGATACTTTGTTGAATTTTGAAGGTATTGATTTTCCGATGAAACTAAAAGACATTAAAAAGTTTGAGACTCTTAATAATATTTCAGTAAATGTTTATATGGGCTAGAATTTAATTTCGTAACTAATAAACGGCAATATAAAATAGTTGGGCCACTGTAATTTACAAGTAATCGCCATGCCACTCATGTAAACCTTTTGCTTATCACAAATGATACACAAAGTCATTATTGTCTGACTTTAGACATGTCGAGACTTGTAAGAAGTCAAAAAACAAAAAACCATCGCAAAAGATACTTATGTGATGGATGTCTACAATTCTTTGTAAGCGAAGAAAATTTAAATTAAAAGTTTTAACGAAATTCATATTTCGTTAAAACGGCTGAACACCAAGCATATTCATTTGCATTTTATCTTAAATGCAGCTATGATGATTCACTCTCAAAACTAATAAATTATGAAGGAAAGGATGCCCCCAAGGTGTTTATCCAGAAATTGGATGATTTAGTACATGGACTATACAACAATCACCTTAAACATATTAAACCAATGTCACCGTTAACAAAAGAAGAAATTGAAAAACATGAAACTGCTACCGAGAGTTACTTGTGTGGGAAGCCATTTAATCCTTTTAATCATAAGGTAAGAGATAATCATCATTTAACTTCAAAATATCTTGGACCCGCTCATAATTCAAACTCAACATTACAAACTCTCAAATACAATACCTGTGTTTTTCACAATATGAGTAATTATGATTGTCATATTTTTGTTAAAGAGCTTTCAACAACTGGTGAACAAGTGTCAGTAATTGCACAGACCAAAGAAAAATATATCACATATATGTCCCCATATATACATAACTCTGAGATTTATCCCAGGACCGAGAAATACCTCGGTCCTGGGATAAATTATACATCGAAGTGGTTCAGGATTTTGAAGTACAGATTAGAATTCCGTACTTTATACACTTCAATCGCCCCGAATGTAGAACAGAGCTAGAAGGATTCGCCCCTGCTCAATCCAGTTGTCATTTATGTAGGTTTGCATTGGAAAATTTAGATAACAATTATATTGTTTGAATGTAGTAATTATTTATTAAAGTATTATTTTTTAATAAGGTATTTTTATTGCTTAGATAAAACATTATGTAAGAAAAAAATCTTTATTGCATAATAAAATTATTGTATAAGTAAAATAAATTAGATAAGGCACATACACTATTATTATTTAAATGGTATGGACATTTTGGCTCCATTATCTCCAAGGCTGGTTGTTCATCAAACTCTATAACTGGTACTAAACTATACTTTCTTATATATTGAGCCTTTTCTCTTCCTTTGACATAAACGATATCGACATTACTTGTCAAGTATCGAATAATATCATGAACTTGATGTACCGGGGTAAATCCGTTATTCCAGTTAAGACCATGGTGATTATTCATTAACCATACAGCTTGTTTATGGAGCTCTGGATTCAGCAACCTCAATGGATATGAAGGTTTGAAAAAATAATGACTAATTTTTTCGCCATCATAAGTCGCCAACTCTTTCACGATAAATTTATTTTTCTCGGTGTTAAAACCTTGTACGTCTATTATTAAGCACATGTTAAAGTCTGTCTTTGTATGGTATCTAACTTGCATTTATAAAACAATTTTCAGTCATGCGCATGAGAGAGGTTCACATATAATGCTATAGCGACCACCCATCTTCATACATAATGTACATCTGACCTCATACGGAAAAGTCTCTCATTAGATGTAATTAAATCTTAATACCTATCTCATTATAAAAATATATTAAAAAGCCAACCTGTCCATCTAATATTATCAATATTTTTTATAATTGTTTTACTATTTTAGTTAGGGATTATATGTAAATTCTTTCTCGTGTAGTATCAGACAATAAGCGGAGATATCAGAGGTTGTTGGCTCATCTGTCTCAAATTCTATACGTAACACCACAGATCCTGATTGAATTACTTCTTTTTGTCGAGAGCAGTCAATATATATCAGTGGTGCAATCATTTTAAAGTCATAAGGATTAAATATTGGTTGATTCAGCACCATATGATAATAACTTTTTTGGAAATTGACAAACATTTCATAAAGTTTCGCAAATCTATTTGTTTTAAAATCTAATTGTAGATCATTATAGGAATATCTTTCAGAATTTAAAAATACTTTAATATTTTTTAAAGTGCAATGATCAAATTTACTCATATCTTTTGTTAATTTCGATTTTCTGTTATTTTGGAAAGCAACAATGATGTGACGAGGTGTTGCTATTTTCGTACTAGTGCGCACAGACCACGTATGGCGGGTAGAGTTGTTTAGAGCAGGATATTCAATCATTTGCCAAGAGCGAAATTTTATAGGTAATTCTTGATTTGTATGTGAAATCTTGTTAAGTCGTATCTGTTCTCGTATACTCGGTATTATATGTGGAACCTCCCAATATAATTTACTAATATCAATTTTTGGTCGTTCGCTTTCTTCTATGCTGACTACAGCATCAATATCATCATTTGATCTAATAAGTATTAATTCCTGTTTCATGTTTATAATAATTTTCCTGAAATCTTCAAAGAATCCTGATAGGAGTCTTAAAAGTATGCACACGTTAAAGTTTCCATTTGAATCCACAAACACACTGTTTTTTGGGAACTTCATTATTCGTTTCCATTCTACTCATTTTTGGAAACCAACCAGCGTTTTCCAATTGCAAGCTTTGGTTTTCGTTGAGACTAAGATAGTTTTTAATACTGGATACTAATCCTACATCACGTACTGAGTCAACTACCATCCCATTTAGTTCGTAACGTAGTTCACGAAACATGAAAGCTATACTATTATTAATAAATTTTAATTTTGTTGGTATGCTATTATCATATGTGAGTAAACATCCTTCGATATAAAGATAACTATTTGCGGGGTGTTCAATCACAAATTAACCCCTTAATTTGTAATCTCACATTATTCTTAACTTCTTAATCTTTTATAGTTTCACCGTGTATAAGTTTGCATTATACATATTGCAAAACCGTAACGTATGATAATTTAATAATTACTTCATTTACCTACAACTAAATAAATTGCCGAATAACAATATTTTCTAATTGAACTTCCTAAGTATCGCAATTACGGCGTAGATTAAATTGTATTATAAGCAAAAGTTAGGTGGTGTGATATGAACGAAGCAATGACTTAAGGTGCTTATGTATCTATTATGTGTGAGATTATAAATTGGGGATTTGAGTTCAAATGAACACAGTCAATATTAAGTAGTTACCGAACCAACACCATATTGTGTAATTACGAGTTGCTGTCAATAAATCATCACTGTTACTCCTCAACTTCAACATTTATTTAACCCTATCATCATCGATCGACGAGAAGCGGACAAAGGGGCATTACGAACCGAACTTCACTACTAAGTTCGATATTTTTTACATTGGTCCTTCGTCAAAACATCATCAAAAGGGTGTTAATTGGTTTGGAGCTTCGAAGGAGACGACCCTTAGCGACCTAAATAGCGGTTTCCCAGTTCCGTACAAGATCGACGATCGAATTCGAAGTGTAGAGAAAAGAAAAAAGAAATAAAAAAGACCAGAAAGCACCGAAATAAGGGGTAGGAGCCTTACGAGAGCCTTTGATCACCAGAGAACCTTAATAGCAGTCCTTAAGTCTACTATTCCAGCAGTTTGGAGGTCCAGTTTCCAGCAGCAAAATCTAGTAGCATCCAGAGATCCAGCTCACCCCAGTTGCAGTTCTAAGAAGGAAGCAGGAACATACAAGTGAACGTCGGTATAAAACTGTAAGTTTTTGAATATTTATTATCATTTAGAGCAGTGCATTAATTTAATACATTAAAAAGATTATTAAAGAAACTTAAGATTCAAATTGAATAATACTTATTTGAAATATTTTATTCTGCATACTTTTTACTTAAAATAGTAATAGTTTGTCTACAGCTAATTCAAATCTAATAGCTTAATTATCTTAATTTTAATTATATTCGATAATTTGATTCTTATAATTTAAAATTCTTAAAACATTTGAATTTCATAATATAGTGAATTATCGTGACAATTCGTTATTTTTATACACATTCAGAGTTCATTCATTCCAAATATATAGTATTTTGTAGTATTTGCATTTTTTATATAAAGAATTTTTTCTCTCTGGTTACAAGTGATACTATTACATTATTTAATTTGTACTATATAGCCGTGTCACAAAGGTTAGACAAGAGGTCATTTTGTGTTATTGTCTAAGGTAATCTTGCTGACACTAGTTTAAAAGTTGAAATTAGGTCAAACGTATATTCGTTTAAAATGGAACGATTATATTTAGATCAGGAAAAGCTAGGTCAAGAAATTACGAAGCTTTTAAATAATTTGCGAAAACTACGGAAAGAAAAACGAACGAGAGAATATTTAAACATTAAAAGACAGACACTTGATGAATTGTGGAACGACTTTGAAGATCAAAACACAGAAATTGAAGAGAAAGGTTCGAGAGTTGATAAATATTTTACATCTAACTTTTACGAACAAGTACAAAAAAGATATGAAGAAACGAAAAAGACTTTAGAGGAATTTATTAAAAATTCGTACAAGTCTTCGACAAAAATTAGAGAAATAGAAATTAGGATTGGGAAACTTCATCATTTATTGGAAGACGACGAAACCGATGAAGATTTACAAGAGGATTTAAAAGAAGAGGTACAAAAAATAGATACATTAATAATGGAAATAACTGTGGACAATGAACAGGATGCACTAGAAGAAGGTGAAATAGAAAGATTTTATACAATGAAAAGAAGGGTGAGGTCGATCATAAAAGAAAATAAGAGATTAGAGGCGGAAGGATGCAAGAAAGACAAAATAATATTACCCCAAGTGAAGTTACCCTGTTTTGAAGGAAGGTATTAATCCTGGGTAACTTTCTATGATATTTTTAAATGTTTGATACATGAGAATAATCAACTATCAAATGTGGAAAAAATGCAGTATCTGAAGACAAGCCTCCGAGGAGAAGCAAGTAGAATAATACAACATTTAAACAGAAGCAAACTACAGTGCTGCCTGGAAAATGTTGCA